TTAAAAATAATTGCACTTTACGTTTTTGCACAACGAACAATGTCCTTTTTATTATTTGCAGACAACGCTACGGAAAGAATGAGTAATACAGTCGCGATTGTAACACAATATGAAGACGCGATGCTTACCGTGCGGCTGGCTATCTACTACTGGTGGGGGAGTGCTAGGCTTCGCCACGAAGCCTTCCCCCACTCTTGGCTTGCGCTTGCGCATAACTACCTGGCGTAAACTCTTCGGAAAGTGGACGAGTCTCCTGAGAATGGTTCCCTAGGTTCATCGAAACTTCCCTTCAACGGATTATCCACATTTCACAATTTTTATGAATTTTTATATAAAATTTAGAAAATGCCGAAATGTTAATAATTTTGACGTGGATTGTTTATTTATGCCTAAATAAACGTTCCCTATAAATTTCATCAACAAATCACTTATTTTAACAAAATTTTGATTTTTTTCTACAATTCCCTAATTGTGACTTATTTTGTTTCAGGGACGTTTCGACTACTTCGAGGGATCCCCAGATAAGTATTCATCAACTTATCACTATTTTTACAAAATTTCGATTTTAGGTAAAAACAAAATAGGCCTAATTGTGGAAAACTTACATTCTATAGGTCCCTATTCTTTCCGAAAACTCTATTCCAGGTAGTTTTAACAATTTATTAACTTTATTTTTTAAATTAATAATAAACCAGAAGAAGATTTTTTGGAGTCTTTAAACTAATGAATGAAATAAATTCGGTTGTAGGAGCCGTTTGCAGGATGTTGTGCAGAGAATGTGCTTAAATATATATATATGTATATACATATATACGTCGAAATAATTTTTTCCCTCCATATAGAATGCTGAATTTGCATCACGTATATATAAAGGACCCCGTATATCCCCCTAACTAATTTTAAAATATTGCGAAAAAAACTCCTCAGCCAGGAGTTGAACCTGGTATCTCCGGTTTTCCGGGCCGTCGCCTTCCTTGTTAGGCCACCGAAGCACTTGGAGTTTGTCTCGCAATACTTAGCACATCTATCGAATATTAATCTGATAATAACGCCATCTTTCACCAGCGTAAATTTATTTTTTATGTTTTAGGTTCTGCATTGGCATGAGGGAACATCAGTCTATGTTCCCGCGGCGTAGTGCTTCGACGGCAATCACCCACAGGTAAGTATGACCAACAAAATTAAAACATTCTAATTTTTAAAATTTGTTTCAGGGACTTTTTGCCAAGATCTACCTATCACCAAAGTGTGGTCGACAATTGAGTACCTTTGAAATTTCGACTTTGCGGCGTGTTGCCTTTGCACCAGGGAAGCACAAATAAAACCTCCTAATTGTCCAATCAATCGCTCGTGAAATAGTCAAAAATATTTAAACCAAAGGCCGAAATAGAATTAAATTTTTAATTCATAACAGATTAAATTTAAACATTGACAATCAATTTGTCTGTCATTCTGATTTTGAAACTGTTAAAAAATATTTTGTTGTCCCTTATCTTCCTGATTTGTCTGATTCTTTTTCAAGATTTTTTAAAAAAACTAAG